GAAGAAGCAGAGAACTCAGATCTTAAACTTAAATTCTAGCTCTTAGTATCTGTAGATGCAGGATTCTGATGTCGTCTTATTCAACCAAACACAGAAACCACAGAGAGAACCTATAGGAAAGAATGTACCAAGAATGCAGGGGAGGGAATATTTCAGCTGGTGAAGGTATGGCTGAAAGGTGACCCTTCCTGGGCATTGTCAGAAGCTAGAATCTCCTGGCCAATTAACCTTCACTTGACCTGAACATTTTGAAACAGGCTGCAGTCCTCTCATCACTACACCTAGCAATAATACCCTTTTAACTGGATGGGAATTACTTCTGAATATAGGATTGTGCAGCTGCTGAAAGAGCAATATGCAGGTATTAAAAATAGTAAAGGGTTTTTCTTGTTTGACACATTGAGTCCAATGTGTCTGAGAACATGAGGCACTCCCACATAAAAGAATAATGCTAATTTTAAAAAAAAATACTCCAGACTTAAATCTGATTCTGAATTCTTGATTTTGCAAGCCAAGTTACTGAACATAACGCAATTTTCTTTATTTGTGCATAGTGGTGGCAGCATTAAGTATAAGATAAAGTATGTGCTATTACTCCCTAAGATTTATTTCTTGTAGTAGCATGCCAGGAACTAGACCTTTTTGCTAGGATAATTTATTTGAGGAAACCTTTTCACAGAGGTCTGAATAACATGGGGGCCAATATTTTAGTTCAGTTAAATCATCCATAAAATCACAGTCAGGGAAATGATAGTGGGGGAGGGGAGATATTGCATTCTTGACTATTGTTGTTTGATCAGATCCCAATCAAAGTTTCCACGCTCTTATGCTTTTAAATTACAGCACCACAGAATATTAAATTACTTCTTGCATGGATGAACATAACCCAGCTACAACCATGAATGCAAGAAAGGGTGCTTCGGGTGCTTTTTAAAAAATTGTTATTTATGATTGCATGAAAGCTATAATTATCAGTGGAACTTAATATACCAACAAAACAAAACAAAACCAAATATTTTTTTAAGTCCCTCTGGCCTGGAATTCATGCCTGTTTGTAGAAGCAATCTATTTTTCTCCTTCCTACATTCATCAAAGATAGAGCCACAGACCAACAATAGAGGCAAAGATAAGTCTTTAAAGCAGTGAGAATAGCATTGCCATCTAGAATCTCTTTCTCTCTCTAGTCATCCTGCTGAAGACAATGAAACTGCTTTGGAGCTCAGTTGACAGCAAATTGAAATCACATTTATACCATACTACAATAAACAATCAACTGTAACATAAAACAATATGCAGCAGCCTTTCTAAGAAGCTATAGACCAGGGAGAACTATGTCAAGCCAGTC